TCACAATTTGAGTTGAATTACTGAAATAAATGAACTTTTCCACGACATTCTAATTTATTGAGATGCACCTGTAGCTGTGGCTGTGTTTGGAACTTTCTTTGCAATATTGTGTCTAAAATGTAAGTTACTCAATATTAACTTCTTATTTAATGAACTACTGTATAAAGGCAATATCACACAATCGTGCTGTGCTACTCAAATAAGGTCCTAGAAACTTCTCAAGCAGATTTCGCAACAGTATTTTCCACGTTGACCATCAAGCTGGTGACTTGTGTATGAGAATGTGATTCATACTATCACTATTTGCTACAATACTGACAGTAGACAATAAACTTTTTCCCTAATGTTACTGCACTTTTAGACACAACACACCTTTTGAACTAGCAAAAAGCATCATGAATTTGTGGCGTAAAATGTAGGCTAGTTCTAGACACTAAGTTGTTATGGCTTTGTAAACAAGTAAGGAAAACTTTTTTTTTTCATTTCATGTATATGTATATATATGTGTCTTGGTTGTGAATGAAACTTACAAGCATTGTTTGGGCTGTTCTTGATGAATGCGGAGAACTTGGCAAAAATGTCAGCACCAACATCAAAAGACTCTTTGTAGCGGGGGCTGAGATGAGGATAGCTGACAGGATCAGAAAGAGAGAAATATTTATAGCCAGTCTTCACACACCCAAAAGATAGACATCCAACAACATTCACATAATAATGCTGACGTTTAAAAAGTGCTTAAGCTTGTCTATATACATAATACATGTTAAATATGCCATAGGGTTTTATTTTAAAAATATTTTGTCATAGGCACACTATTAAAAATTTTGGAGTCTGTAGGAAATTTTATGCTCATCAATACTGTGTTTATTTGGCCAAAAATATAGCTATTTGATCATAACTACATTAAAACAGTAATATTGTTTCTTTGATTAATAGAAAGTTCTAAAGAACAATTTAATGCATGTTTGCTGAATAAAAGTATTCATTTATTTCAGTGCTGGAATTCTAATATCTCTGGAACCATCAAGATAAAATAAGTCAGCAAGAACCATTCTGAAGTACTGGGTGGAAAGTCTTTGATGTGGATGTTTTATTACAGCAATGTCAATACATTAGATATTACTTAAATAAGTGCAGCCATTTGATTTATGACAGAATAACACTAGAATAATATGTTTATGGAACTTTTGTCAAAGTGAAGCCAATATGTTTGATATGGCATTACATGAGCTAACAGACATGCACAGTACCGGGGAGGGGCGAGGGTGGTCTCCAGGAACTCTTCGATCTTAATGAAGTCAGTCTTCAGTGTGCCATTGTACAGGAGGAAAGGAGGGTTGGTACCTGGAGCTAAGTCTTTGAGCTCTTCTGGCTTCCTAAACAACACAGGGTGGAGCAAAGCAGAGGGAGTGTAAGCCACAGGGTGCGGACATGGTCAATATGAAGTAATTTATTGTATATGGAGAGTCTTTGAATGAGACCTAAAGTGATTAATGCTGCTTTAAAATATTAATCTCAATATTAAACACAATTTAACCACTCAAAGCACACGGATATGGGAGTGTCCAGCTGGTAAATGGGTGAAAGCTGCATTTGCTTTAGAAGATTTAGTTGGGAACAGTGCAATTGGAGAGTTTTCACTGCCTTGATCATGTTTGTAGTACAATGACCGCCCCCACCCCCAGTGTTATCAAATTCAGTCTGGTGCTAGCCCACAGTTCCTCAGATTTCTCTATTTGTCTACTGAATTCCATTCCATTAGATAGCCTTATCGTCGTGTTTCAGAGATATGAAAGCTTAATTTGACACTCACTTCCTCATGTCAACAGTGGTTACTGTGAACCTGACTCCTTTCAGCCAAAGAACCATGAAGAGTCTCTGACAGAAGGGACAGTTCCCCACATTCTCTCCATCATGACCGGCCTTGAGTTGAAAAAAAAACCAAACAAAGAGAAATCCATGGTAGGTAACACATAAGCACAGACTAGACACTAAGTCACATACTCGTAGACAGAGAAGCACACACTGTAGATTTCCTTAACCCTCATGTTCTGTTAAGATTGACTGTACTGTTTTTTATGTTTGGAATCCAAGAGACTCATAAAAATATTAATAACCCAGTCGAAATGAATCTTTATTTTCCCTTTAAAAAATTGTCTTATGTTTTTTTTTTCTGATTTAGATCATCCCAAAAATTAAGTCTGTTGTCATTTATTAACCCTCATGTCATTTCAAACCTATTTTTCTTTAAGATTTTCTTTCTTCTGTGGAACATAGAAAAAGATGTTAGTGTACAAGAAGAATGTATCAGTGTCAATAAACTTCAAAAAGTCAGTGGGGTTCAGTGTTGTTTCAGTGTGCTGATTTGGCACTCACAAAAGGTTTATTAGTATCAATGCTGAAAACAGTTGTGCTGCTGCTTAATATTTTTGTAGAAACAGGATTTTTTAATGAATAGAAAGTTTAAAATAACAGCATTAAACATTATAAATGTCTTTACTGTCACTTTTAATCAATGTAATACATCCCGTCTAAATAAAAGTATTAATTTCCTTCGAGAAAAAAAATAGCTAACCCCAAACTTTTAAACAGTACTTTATACAAGTGATTTGCTTTCTCCACAACTTTCCATGTATCCAGGTATGTTAAACTGTTTTGAGAAAAAAATCTGAAGAAAGACAGAAAGTTATTGGCAGGTACTGGTTTCCAGACGGGACATTATCCGGGCATTAAGTTTAAGGTCATTTCCTTTAACCCTAAAACACAACACAATGCAATTCATCATTCAAAATACCGGTAAAAAACCTGTGAAAAATTAAAACAGATTTTTTTTTTTTTTTAGAATGTAGCATAAGGAAACAGCATTTGTGTTTACATAATGTTTCAGACTGCTGCTTTTTTGAACAAACCATTTTCTTAAATGTACGTAAATGTAGTCAGTATGTTCTTAAGATATTTTAGCACAATTGGGGTCTCTGAGACCCCCAGCAGTCTGTTATTATTGATGGATAGCTTTTATTTTTTAACTAAATGTGTCCCTCCCTTCAAAAAGAATAGGACATAAATAGCCCATGTATTGTGTGGGTGTGGGTGGACAATTCAAGAGCTTGATCCAAATAGAGGAAAAGCAGGAATTGTCTAGAAGAGGGAGATAACAGATCTGCACAATGCTTCTATTGCCCATGATGCACATCTTTTCAAATAAGAACATAAACAAGTGAATTATAAATAACTTGGTGACCATCTAGAAAGCTTTGATGATCTTTGGGATCTAAAGGTCACCACTCATCCATATCCTACTCATTTAGTTCATGAATTGTATCTAGACTGGTAAAGCATGGTAATGGGATCTACAGTATAGGAAATGTATAAGCATGTTTATGGGTGTGACGACAGGGAGCCAAGAGCTGCCAGTATTTCTGTGTGTGTGTGTTTGTTGATAAGATGACCTCAGTCCTGTCTGTATGTCAGATAAAGAGCAGTGTAAGAGAGAACAGTTATATATCAACCATACTATCCAATTTTCAGTAGTACATGTGTTAACTGAGTTGACGGTGATGCCCATGTCAACCTCTGATTCATGGTGCCCAAATGAAAACCTTCCCTAACGGAAAGCACTGATAGAGTGTAAATCCACCATTAATCCAATTTTGCCAAATGGCTCAAGAAGTCACAAGCAATTTTTTTTATTTAGTCTATAAGAGTGTGAATTATTTTTCCCTTTGTCAATCAGAAATAAATTACACTGATATCATAAGTGGATAATAAGAGGCGAGATGTACATAAACTATTTTATTAACTACAACCATTCAATAAAAAGTTAGTATAATTCAGTGAGTTTAACATCATTATTCCAACAATAAGGAATACATAATAACGGACCTAATCACAGTTGACACATGCTCTGTTGACACGTCCCCACCTCAATATTCAGATTACTGGATGATTTAAATGGTTGATTTTTAAATTATTTTTATTATAAATAAATTATATTTATTTTTATTTTCAAAATAGATTTATTAAATATATTATAGCTATTATTTTACATTTATATAGTATTGTTTTATATTTATATAATAGTTATATTTAATATAATTTGAATTTGAATATTATTTTAATTTGGAATAACAGTATCTGACCAACTAAAACTAAAGTTTAACAACTGACCTTTATGAAGAGCTCAATTCGTGGTTCTTTATCTGAGTCTTGTCTGAGTGCCATTTTCTTCAGCAGGAAAACGACTTTAGTTAGTCCAGACCTCCGTGAAAAGTATTCCACAAATTACCAGAGAGTTGAAGATCCCCCAAAAGATTGGTAAGCAGCTGTAATGTGTGAAAGTTAGTCAGACTCTTGCTGTTTGCTGTCTCCCTCCGGCTACAGACTTTAAAAGTCAGGAGGGAGGGAGGCTAGAGAGGATGGGCGTGACCCCAGCTATATAACTCTGCTGCCAGAATGCGACAGAGAGCTCAAAAATAGCTTTTCATTTTATCCAACATGCATTTACACTCCATCACTCTTGCTTTCTGCTGTTTCCCTCAGGCAACAGACTTTAAAAGTCAGGAGGGAGGGAGGCTAGAGAGGATGGGCGTGACCCCAGCTATATAACTCTGCTGCCAGAATGCGACAGAGAGCTCAAAAATAGCTTTTCATTTTATCCAACATGCATTTACACTCCATCACAGTGTTATCTCAGACGTGAAGCAGGGGCCACATTCCATTCATGTAGACTATTAACACTTAACACAGACGTGTGTTTCTGCTGGAACTGAACTAACATTCCTCCCTCCCATATGTTCAATCACAATGTGCTTCTTTCAGCAGTGTAATGTAGGGGCTGTTTAATATAAATCAGTTGATCCACTTTAACTTTCACTTTAAAGAAAACGTATAATTGCTTTCAGATGTCAGACCACAGAGCGATGCCACTTTCTCTTCCCCTTGTTTGAAAGATTCAGTTCATTTGATTCTGACTCATACTATTCTTTCATATTATCTTCTTCTCTGGAATTTTTCTAACTTCCAGTAACCCCTGGTAAAACGTTCAGAAACAACCAGATTTCACTTTTGAAATCAGTTGAGACACAGGAGAACGTGTGGGAGAACTCAAAATGTAAGCTACATCCCTTGGGGAACATTCGGGGACGTCACACACATATATATATATATATATATATATATAATGCAGTTTTCTGTGGTAGTAGTGTGTATGGTAGAGTTAGTCATATAGTTTATATAAAACAACAGAAGTCTATTGCTAAGATACACACAGTTGTGTGTTAATGGACAACTGAGGGTGTGGGTATGTGATCACTCTCAAGGGATTGGTTCTTTTTAAACAAATAGGTAGTTCCCCTCATTCCCTGTGCAGTCCTCTTGAGTCACAGACGCAGTTTGAGTCAGAGGCAACAATTCTGTCATCTCATGGCTTGCCCTCATAACTGCGAATATTAACACGGAAACACTCTCAGAATAACTTAAACCATAAAATTCATCTCTTATACCAACTGACTAAAAAATCATCTAAATTATAGTGGCAATGTCATTCTTAAAAAAGTTACATGTTTTCAACCTCTTAAATAAACACTAATGGGAAAGAGTTTCATTTCCTCATTCAGCACACAGATGTTATATTAAGGGTATGTATTGCATCATTTTGGGGAATTCACACTAGTTTGAAACAATACTACCGTAAAAAGCAGACACCTAACTATTTTATGAAAAAAGACCTCAAGAAAGCAAGGAGGTGTTTTGTTCTTTCCTCAAAAAGACTTTTAAAAGTGGACCATTTTAAAGGGACAGTCACCCAAAAATTTAAATTCATTGTTTAATCACGCTCATGTGTGTTTGAAACCTAAATGACTTATTTAGTAGAATGTCCAATCTTCTCTTTTCCATATAGTAAAAGTAGCCTAAATGACCACGTTTGTCAAGCTAGAATTTTAAAGCAACATTTTTGTAACATAGCCACCTTATTTTTATTGTAAGAGCGGACAACCATTTGTAACTTGAATGTGAGGCTTCTGATATTATCCGCTTCCACTTATTTTTAGCTGTACAAAACAGCTTATGCTGCTTTACATTGCTAACTTGTATTTCTTATCATATTATTTTTATGTATTATTGTACTTGTAAACACATTGGTTTGTAGTGCAAATCATTTTACCGTGCGTCATTATTCTTCTAATTATTTACCTAGTTATTAGTTACTAATGAATCAGAATAAAAAAAGCTCACTTCCATGTTAAATGAGATAAAATAAGATGAATAAACAATATAGTGTACAACTAACTGACTATATTAATGATGAAGCTTGTCAGCCCGTGATCCCTATAAAAAATATTTGGAAGATATGTCAGCTCTGACATTTGGCTAAATATCCTTTTTCTGTTCCACAGAAGAAAGAAAAAATGTTTTCAATGCCTTAAGGATGAGTAAATGATGTCATTTCTTTAATTTTGAGATGAACTATCCCTAAAAGTTTAAAGAGGCTGGTGATAATACTGTACTGTATATATACAAAACAAGAGCCTGACATGGAAACTCCTAACAAATCCTGGAAATTAAGTGAGTTCCACTTCGGCCAGCACAGGAAATGAGCCTGGAGCCAACAGGATACTATGACTAACAGATCCGAGCTGTGAGCTGTTTAGTCCACGCTAGCTTCTCATTTCCGTTATACTGCAGCACCGCAAAGAATATACCACCAAACAAGAAATCACTATGGAGATGATGAGCTGTAAGGATACAAGACTAAGCCTCTAATCTGATGTTACTGTCGCAATCACTAAGCAAGCATGTCAAAGGTCTGCACCTTATTGTACAGCATTTAATTCACAAACATTCCTATCAGGCACTAGACCGGTCTCATATGTGGGGGTGGAATTTCTTTGACTCAGGGAGGGTGTTTGTATTGACAGATTGCTGAGAAAGCTAAGACACAGCATATAGAGCGTCCTACGCGTTTTCTGTCTTCTGCTGAATAGGCAGCACATGTTCAGATAACATATTGTACTTATAGAGATAGCAGACTGACACAAGACTCATATTTCGAGCTATATGCATTTAGTTGCTATGGTGACAAAGTTGCTTTTTCTATTGTTTCTGGAATACAGAAATGTGATGCACTCACTAACCACTGACATCTCTTCTCCAGGCTGAGAGAGGAAGCACTTATCCTCAGATGATAGACTATCTACAGGATATCCAGCGGCTGGGAACACACAGTTGGAAAATCCTTGCTTTATCTCCCGAAACAGGACCCAAATGTTGATCATGAGAGCCCAGTGCTGTCACTGTACATCAGCACAAGCAAAGGAAACTAAATACTCAAGCTCAGCAAAGATAATTTCTTGTTTTGAGTTTTTCCTTGGAGAGAAATCTGAACATGGAGAGAAATCTGATTTAATGCATGATAAAAATGCAAAAAAAAAAAGCTAAAAACCAAACTAAATCTAAACCTCTTTAAAACAAGATCCACTCAAGAAACAAAAGTGTGTAAGATAATAATACTTATTTTCAGGGAATATCTATTTTATGTACACTACCTTTCAGAAGTTTGGTTAGGTAAGATTTTGTAATGTTTTTGAAAGACGTCTTATTTTCATTTAAGGAGTATTACTGATTATACTGTATTTTTGATTAAAAATGCTATTTGATCAAAGATACAGTAATATTGTAAAATATTACAATTTAAGATAACTGTTTCCCCTTATTATTAAATTTTATAATGTAATTTATTCCTCTGTTGGCAAAGCTGAATTTTCAGCATTATTACTCATTTTATTTAAAAAGAAATCATTTGTACTGTCACTTTTGATCGAATGCATCCTTGCTGATAAATATCAATTTCTTTCACAAAAAAAAACATCTGTTATCTTATATAGTTTTCTCTTACCCCCGCAGCAAATGTTTTTTTTGTCTTGTTTTAAGTATATAATTTTGTTATGATATATGCTTAAAACAAGAAAATTAAGTGAATCTTTAGATTAGATTAAATTATATTTCAAAAAACGAAATATTAGTAACATATTTTGTATTATTTATAATATAAATGTGTATTATATGAAATATTCAATACATTTTAAGATATACAGTATTAAAACATTTGAGATCAATGTGTATGAAAGACATATATGAACACAAATCTTAATATCTTACGCTAATGTTCTTTTCAGGTTAATTTAACTTGTAACAGATATTTTAACTTTTAAATAAGACTAGAATTCTGATTTAGACTGATCAGTATTACTGAACTGTGCTGTACTTTTGACTGGAAACTAAATTTATTATCATCAGGGTGTTGCTTATTAAAAACAGACGTGTGAACTCTGTCACCTCAAAAAGCCCTTTTGATAAATAAATGGAAAACAAGCACGAAAACGGTCTAATTAGTGCAGTGACACAAATGTGTGTCAGTGTCAATGCTGTTGAATGAGCGCTTGTTCTCCTCTCAGCACAATGCCACCATTGACCCCTTTCTCCTGGTCAGAAGTCAGAGGGCAGTAAACAGCCAAACATTTTCTCCTAGTTAAAAATCACAGCGCTTCGTAATGTGCGTTGTGCACTATGTCTCCATTGAGCTCTTGTTGGTCCTGGTGTTTCCTCTCCGTCGCCCTAGCTGTCAACACACGGCAAACTTCGTCAGCTCCAGATTTCTCTGGTGAGTGTTTTTCTCTGATTTTGTGGCTGTGATAGAACAAATTCAGCATGTTGTCTTGGAGCGAACCTCCGAAAGGAAAGAGAACATTCTGTATTTTGTCTTTCACACAGTTCTTGTCAACAATCTGTAGTGTATCAGCTTAAGAGAGTTGGGTGTTAGGGTCACTGTCCCATCCTCCTCCATTGTTTGAGGACTGTCCATATAGGAAAGGAAGGCAGTTATCTACATTAACCCATTCTGAACCAAAGACAAACATTTTATGTAAAATTTAGGCTGAAGGAGTGCAAAATACACTATATTTTGGACTTCAAAAGACATTAGAATCATCAAATATGAAGCCAGCTGCAGTGTTTATGTGTCATAGTACCATCAAAGTCAGCATTTAAGTGTCCCTGACAAATGTTGGCTTCGTAATTCAGTTGTCCTGTATAGTGGCTTCAAGTAATAATCAGCCAAGAATAGCTCATTGTGTTTATTTGTGAGTGTGTCTGTGCCTGGCACTGCATAACAGTGGGCTCTACAGATGCAGAATGGCCTAACCCGAGAGAGAGGTACAGGCCAAACATTACAATTGCCAT